ACTTCTTTTACGGCATGTACGACTCTTTCTGGCAGTCCTACTGCTACTGGATTATTGGCGCGCAGTCACATAGTCCTGCTGTGAATGCGGTTATTGTAGGCACCTATTCGGCGCTTAAACCGGCTGGAGGCTCAATGGCGTGGAGGGTAAATGCTGAAGGGTACTCTGCCATGACGCAGTTTGCGATGAACTGGGGACTAAGCATTGGCAGCTTGGTAGTGGCAGTTCCGGCTGTGCTAGCTGTTGGGGGGGAGTTGTTGGTTGAAGAAGGGATTAGCAGTGAGGAACAGGTAAATGAGAAGATGACTGGACTTGCGTAGATGGTCTAGCTTTGGGTATTGAATAGCAACACAGCAGTACAATGGTCTCGAACAATCATAGCATCCTTGCCGTTTATGCAGATAGCTCGCATTACTATACGGTCACGGAGGAGCCAAAAGAAGGCTTCTTTTCAGTGATTGGCAGTTTTATCTGTGTCAATTTGTCTTTGTTCGTCGCCTTGTGTTCGTATAGATCACGCGTAAGCAGATTTATAATACCATGAAGAAGAGCTAAGGATCAGAGGAGCATATAATATCGGTGGAAACAATATTTTTGGGTGTTGACAAGTACATTGCCCCTGGTCTCTTTCTCAAAAAAAAAAAATAAAAAATAAAAAATAAAAAATAAAAATTCCCATAACACATCACACCCCAGTGAACAGTTGGCCTCCCTGCTTCTGCGACGTCCCGCCATCAATACCATACAAACCCTTCAAATACGTCCTAGTCGCCTCCAACCACGGATTTTTGCCCGCGCTCGCCTGGCATGCATCGCCGCAGACCTGGTGATTCTTGCCCCCCCAAATCACAAATCCATTTATATCCTCATTCCCCGTCAGCACATCCAGTTGACTCTTCCACAAATCAACAGGGAGAAAAGCATAAGGAGAATCATGGTACTGTGGCCATGTGAACGGATACACAGGAAGGGAGGCATCTATAGCCTTGATCTTGGCAAGAACACTATTGAGAGAGGCGTTCCAAGTAGCGAGGCTGCTCGAGAATGTGTAAGCTGAAGGGAAGAAGGCGTGGGCGCTGTGGTTGGCAATAAGTCTCTGGTAGTGTCCGTACAGTGAAGCAGCCGTGTTTCCCGAGAGGCCGTACCACCCAATGATTTGATCGCTTGGGAGAACTTGGGCAGCCCAGGTTTGTAGCGTCTTCATGACTTCCAGGTTGTGGTCCGCGGTGGATGTTGAGGTGAGGTAGATGTTCTCGCAGTCCAGTACGAGGGGATAACTGGGGTAGATGTTCCATTCTAGCACAATGGATTGCCATGTCTCTGCAGAGGGGATGGCGTTGTTGGCGACGAGCGGGCTGCAGACATAACTGGGGATCCAATTGAGGTTGGATGCGCCGTAGCCGATGGACGTGTTGGTGTAGGCCGTGCTGTCAAAGACACGGAAGTTATTGGCACCGATGGCGGAACCCAAGAAAGAAGATAATGCCAATATTTCAGCAAGCATTGTGCTTTGGGTCGAGAAAGCGGTTTGAAAGCACGCAAGTGGCAATAATAGGATGTTTTTTATGAGAACTTGGGGGGATTCCAGTGATGTTCATAATGGGAATACCGGCTGCTTAAATGACAACCCACCGAGAGCTTCCTTGTCAAATATAGCTTAAGTTCTTTCGAATCAGGATGATCAAGACTTCGGTAGTGTAAACCGACACGCGATAGCTTGATCTTGGAGATGAGGGGTGTCGAAGCATCTCGGGGACGATATCCGCTACAAGGCGGATCTCGCCCGCGATGGTCCCAAAGAGGAAACTACGACGATTGCGACGCGACTGCCCGTTCCACAGTGGTGTCACTGGGTTAGTCCACTTATCAAGCCCATCAACCTTATCAAACCCCATCGAGACAAGATTGGTTGCTATGTGTCACATTTTGATGTTTAGAGATACAGCCCTTCATTCCCTTCGCCCGTCTACTCTGAATTGAGGCATCGACGGCAGACGCATCATTCGCTCAACAACATGCTGGGTTTCTGGGCTCCGCTGCCCTGCTCCGTCCAAATCCCAGCCAGAGCAACACCATGGGACCACTCGCTAGTCGGAAACAACTCAATGGCAACATCCGGCGTGAGAAAGGCGTATCTGGCCTTCCCCCCGCAATTGTGGAAGAGGTAACATTAGTCCGTACCTGGGGAAGTGACAGGGTCCTGGGCCTTCATCGTCTGCACCCTCTACGTGCATGTGTTTCTCTTGACATTTCACTTCGACTGATCGACCCGGGATCCATCGGGAAGAATGGCATGAAATGAAATGGAGCCCAAGAGCTGCGTCGTTTGTCGCAAACGCAAGGTTCGTTTTCCTCACTCATATTCTAGGCAATTTACTGACACTGGTCAGGTGAAATGCGACCGCACACCGGGATCATGCCGTAAATGCATCAAATTCGGCACAGAATGTATCTACGCTACAAAGAAGGATGCCATGAAACCGGCCAAGGGTTACGACCATCTAGAAGGTACTAATGAAATCACACAAGCTGGTCTGAGGCGGCGACGTATTCGCAGGTCATGCGTGGAATGCCAACGGTCCAAGGCCAAGTGCTCTGGGGACCCTCTGTGCAAGCGATGCAGTAGAAAGGACTTGCATTGTCTTTATCCGAGCCCAGATCATGAGAGGCGCGGCTCGAGACCTAGCCTCAGTCTAGGAGACGATCGCCACGGCCTCTCATCAAACGCGCTGGTCGACGCCAATATGCCAACTTGGTTGACGTCGCGGAGCTTACCTCCCGCACATCGCGTGCGTGAACTGCTAGACATATATTTGTCACAGGTCCACACTGTCCGATGCTTCGGTTTTTTGCATGTTCCTACTTTCATGGCGCGATTTCAAGACGATGACGCCTTTGATGATGATCGATCCGGCCTCATATATATTCTTTGCGCACTTGCTGCACCCTTTTATTACGCTCGGGCCGTGGTTGCATCTTCAGACCAGGATCCTTTGCTAAACACGCGGTTTCATCATGCTGGTCGAGGGTGGGCAGCCAGTGCCATGCAGTGTGTGTGCACCAGCTTCGGCAACTTGGGAGTTGAATGTCTGATGGTTGCTGTTCTGCTGCATGAGCACTTTCTGCGAGTAGGAGATCATGCCAAAGCCTTTGTCATGTCAGGCATGGTAGCACGGCACGTTCAGATCTTACAGCTCAACGTGGAACACGACGCAGATATATTGTGTGAACAAGAGGAATCTATTCCGTGGGTCGTCAAGGAGAGTCGACGCAGGCTGTTCTGGGCGTGCTACCTGCAAGACGCTTTTATTGAGTGTGGTATTGATCAGCTGAAATTCATATCGGCCGACGATGTACAGATACAGTTGCCCAGCCTAGAGGATAACTTCATTCGAAACAAGCCCTGTTTGACGGAGATGCTACGGCAAGGAACCATCCTCCCTTTTGTACAGGGAAGCGATGTGCCGAATATAAGGCCAGAAGCAACAGACGACCTGGACTTACGAGCGCTGTACATTCGCGCAATGGCGATTCGATCCCGGATTCTCAAATACGTCAAACATTTGGGTGATGATATTCCCTGGAAGACCAGCCAGGAGCCGGGGTCTGCTTCGCACTTTCAGCGCCTGGGTCAAGAACTCGTTGCCCTGGAGTCCTCGATACCGGACGCGATGAGAATGACACTAGAGAACACCTACTTATACAAATCATCTGGGCGCCTCAACCTCTATTTCGGTCTTCATATACTCCTTGCACAAACATTCAATGATTTGTATCGCGTCGGTGTAGCTGGACTCGTTTATCCCGTCTCGGCAACAAAATGGATACGAGATAAGGCACCGAGAGACTTCCTCAGACGCTGCCATCAGATGTGTGCCATCAAGGCAGCCTACATAGCTACGCTGTTAGACGACCTATATAAATGTCACAAAGAGAGCATGGTAGACATGCCATTTGCCATGCACGCGCAGGTTTGCAGCGGAGTGCTAGTAACGACTCTTGCATCGTGGATCGAATTAGGCGAATCCGCAATTTCTTCCTTACTGCCAGAGGCTGGGCTCCAGCAGTTTCAGCAAATGCTGGAGAGTAATGTACGTGTCCTACAACATCTACGAGCATATATGCAAGTAGACCTGTTTCTGGAATCAGCAGCCCAGGCCATGAAGCGTTTCGACAAGATCAGGGAGCAAAGCCGGACGAATGCACATGCAGAGACAGAGCCGACAGAGGATCAAAACCCGCGACAATTTTCACTAGACTACATTCTCAATCCTCTGGGCGTATATCCAATCGCACGGACACAAGCTAGCGACAGACATAAACCAGAGCAGTTTGCTTCCTCGACAGCGGCAAAAGTGGCTGTGGGTAGCACGACTTCTTCGAGGGAATGGGAGTCGTGTGCAGACGACGTAATGAGTCTTGATGGTCACGATGGCTATGATGCGTTTCAGTACCAGAGTAGTGGCCTTTGGGACTGGGGGTTGCAGACCCCAATGCTGGAGTTGACGGGGTATCCGACGTTTTTAGACGATGTGCTTCTAGGGCAGGAGATTGTGGGTGTGAGAGTTTGAGGGCGGACAAACAAATTGTAATGTGCCGCGTTTGAGGTATAGCTACGCGTTAACTGGATAGAAAGCTGGGGTTTCCTGCCTACACGCACGTTGTTTATCCGTCACGTGGCATTGGCCAACTGCAATGCAAATGCCAAGTGAAGACGAGTGAAGAAAAGAAAGAACAAGAAGTGACAGTGACGAGACCAGTTGACGGCCATCTCCCCACATTACGTCGGCGCCGCCCATTACCGAGGCACATGCCAATCTAGCAACCTCCAAGCCCAGCAATTCCTCCATCGTCAGCCCAGGAACTCGACCAATATTTACAGAAAATCTGCCTCCCCTAGCTCCCATACTCCCCTCCGGCCTCTTGTCCTCTCGCAACCCCAGGCGACCGCGTCTACCAACCATCAATGCGCCCAGACGCAGGCGCCGTCACGAATCACAATGGCGGCCATGCTTGAGTTCCGCACCCAAGGGTACAATCCCTACGCAGTCAAGTACTCGCCCTACTACGATTCGCGCATAGCCGTCGCAACCTCAGCCAACTTTGGCATCGTCGGAAACGGAAGGGTGTTCGCCCTGGGGCTCACGGCGCAAGGAGTCCAGGTGGAAAAGACGTATGTGTGCGCCCCAGCTGCCCACCCTGCGGCGAGATTGGGGCTAAATACATAGCGAAACAGATTCGACACAAACGACGCATTGTACGACCTGGCTTGGTCGGAGATCAACGAGAACCAACTCATAGTAGCGGGCGGCGACGGGTCGCTGAAGCTCTTCGACCTGGGCGTAAACGAGTTCCCCATCATGAACTTCCACGAACACAAGCGCGAGACATTCTCCGTCTGCTGGAACCCCGTCACAAAGGACACGTTCATTTCAAGTTCATGGGACGGAACCGTCAAAATCGTCAGCAGAACACCCCTCCCCTGCGGCTAAGATTTCAAAAAACAAGAGAGGGAGAGTAACAATCAAGCTTCCGTGTACTAACCGCCCGTCCGTAGTGGTCGCCAACACGCCCGCATTCGCTCAAGACGCTCCCCATCGGAAACTGCACCTACAGCACGTCCTTCTGCCCGTCCAACCCGGCCCTGGTATCAGCCGTCTCGTCGGACTCGCACCTCCGCGTCTTTGACCTGCGCACCCCGACCTCGGCCAAGTACCACCTCGTGTCCACGATCCCCGTCCACGCGGCCGGCAGCCCGCCCGCAGAGGTCCTCACGCACGACTGGAACAAGTACAACGACACGGTCGTGGCCGCGGGCGGCGTGGACCGCATCATTCGCACCTTTGACATTCGCAACCCCGCGGCCGGTCCGCTGGGCCTGATGCTCGGGCACGAATATGCCATTCGGCGATTGGCGTGGAGTCCGCATGCGAGCGACGTCCTTATCAGTGGGAGTTACGACATGACGGTGCGGCTGTGGAACGACGGGTCTGCTCAGCCTTCGGGCCCCTTGGCCGGGGCCAAGCCGGGTCACCAGCTGGGCGTCATGAATAGACATACCGAGTTTGTAACAGGTGTCGACTGGTGTTTATTCGGTGCGGGCGGCTGGGTCGCGTCGGTTGGTTGGGACGAGAGGGTGTTGCTGTGGGATTCGAATATGTTGATGGGCCCGGGTCCAAGATGAAGAATCGAGAAGCTCTGATGGATAAAGGAGGACAAGCATCATTCATGGGTTTGACACTACAGTTTGTGAATGGCGGGTGCATGGAGTCTACACAGCACAGTCACAGAGGTACGGGAAGAGGCGTTATGGCTGCAGATACATGGACTTGCGTTATTTCAAAAAGAAACGGAAAAAAAAAAAAGGAAAAAGATATATAGGTACATGACCCATACGAGGTTCGAAATACTCGGGTTTCCAAGCAAGCTTTGTGAGAAATTACTACTCATCGTTGGGGAGATTTGGACTTCCTAAACGCCGCGTTTTGTGTGTTGTGACCCTTGACCCTGTGCTATGCCCGTAGTTGTACATGGTTTCTGATCTAGTATACATTTGCCCCTGCCATAGCTGGCGCATCTCAAAATATTAAGACAATATTTGTCTCTAGAATGGAGAATGCCCCGAGACCGGGAGACGTCTTGGATTGTCAACTTGTGTCTTCACAGTCGGCCTAGAAAGAGGATCCCCTGGACTCTCTGGACCCCCGGAAGCCTCTTGATCCCCTATGACGGTCACCGCGGTTACCGCGGTTACCGCGGTTACCTCGACCGGATCCCATGTCATCTCGCCGGGCATGACGTCCCATTTCAGCGAAGGGATCAGATGATGCATGACCATCGAAGCGACGAGGTCCCCTGCGTTCGCCACGTCCAGATCGGTCATCTTGGCGGGCGGCACTATCCTGGATGTTCAATCCAGAATGAAGGAGGCCCTGGTTACGAGCCCATGCATGTGAAACCGGCGGCGGTTCGCTCCAGCCCCATCCAACGCTAGTCCACAGATTCAGATCATCAACCAGCTCTTCCCGTTTTTGAGTTGAATTCCCAAAGATTGATGTATAAGCAGAGCATAGCATCTTTCGCGGGAGAGACTGAGTGAGATCCTGAGCCTCCTGGTGGTACTTTGGTAGTTTCTCGGCACCTTCCTCTGCATCAAAGTTGAAACTCTCCAGAGTTTTGTTCGGCTGCAAAGGGAGACCGCGCAGGAGCTTCCTTGCGCTACCCATCGATGTTGGTGGGAGAAGAAGCCAGCCTTCGCCACCCTTATTTTGTCGAGCCGTACGACCTAGTCGATGAATATACGACTCACGATCGCGAGGAGTGTCAACTTGGATAACATGTGTTACGTTGGGGAAGTCCATTCCACGAGCAGTGACATCAGAAGAGAATAAAACGCCACTTCTCGCGTGTCGGAACATATCAGCAGCCCTCGTCCGCTGATTTTGGGTGAGCTGAGATTGAATAGAAAACGTGGGGATTTTCATGAGTCCATTTCGTCTTCGGTGAAAGCCAAGCTCGGCGCCCATTTCAACGAGGGAAGTGGTGTTGAAGTAAACAATGGCCTTAAACGGGGGTAGGCTGCGATCCTCAGCCGCTTTAGCAGATTCTCGGTCGATTAGTTCGAACAAGCTGGGGAAAACATTGTTCCATGAAGTCAGTGGCACGACATGCTGTGGTACTCGGTCGTGGGTAAGAGACTCGTTCTCTGAGATGGTCTGGATAAACTCAAAATCATCGGGTCGAACCATTGTGCGGGCAAGTCTGATGACATCGTCCGGTATGGTAGCCGAAACCAACATGGTTTGGCGAGTTTTTTCATCCCGACTTGGGAGGCAACGTGTAATCTCCCCGATTTCTTTTTCGAAACCGACGTCGAGCATGCGGTCTGCTTCATCCAGAACAAGAGCCGCCAAATTTGGTGCCTCAATGCCACTTTGAGGATCCTGCAACAAATCATTCAGGCGGCCTGGTGTAGCGACCAACAAATGGCATCCTTGACGCTGCGTCTGGCGCAGCATAGAACCCTTGTGAGTGCCTCCAACTGCCGACTGGACAACAAGGCCGGTGTACTTTGTCAGACGACGAGCTTCGGCTGCAATTTGCTCGGCGAGCTCTCTGGTCGGCGACAAAACAATGCCGCGAATATCATCCGACCGGGCACTTCTGGAGGCACGTCTTGTAGCCAGAGTTGGGTCTTCTTCGATCATACGCTGGAGCAACGGCAAAAGGAAAGCCAAGGTCTTTCCAGTTCCTGTCTTGGCCTGGGCAACACTGCGTCGGATTAGTACAGAGCAACAGTCCCGACAGCTAGCTTATGTACTTACATATCTGTTCCCTTGAGTGCCGGGTTAATGGTTTTGGACTGAACAGGTGTCATAGCCTCATATCGCATGTCCTTCGTAATTGCGTCTAGGAGATTTTTATGAACTCCAGCCTGCGACAGGTCGGCAAAGTTGACGACGTCCCTCGGGACAGTCTCCTCGGTGGGATTTGTCTCAACAGCTGCAGCTTCTGCGCTGTAGAATCTCGAAGAGTATGCAATGCTCTTGAAGGTACCAGGAGTTCGCGCCAAAGGTACGACACCTCTCGGGGCAAGGGGGGTGGCCGTCCGGCTGCGAAGGAAGACGGACCGCGTAACGGCACTGGTGAGGCCAGCACAGTGGCGAAAGCCTTGTCTCAGCATATTGACAGCCTTCTTCACAGAACGAGACAGATTATTGATGTGAAACAGATTATTGATGTGAAGCACACTTGGCTATCAAGATTGTGAAGGCTTGAAAGGGCAGCAAGTGATGGAGAACTTCAAAATAGGATCCGCGCTCTCGAGAATTTCATGGACTAGCGGGTCCAGAATTTTTTTCCTGTCCCAAGGTGGATGGCACGCGGGTTGCAAAAAAGGCCGCACACCCCGCACCCACAACCACACACACAGGTGTGCGGCCTTTTTTGCAACCCGCGTGGCTGGGTGGCGACTACCTTCTTTCCGCAAGATGCCAGCGGCTACCAATCATGTTGGTCTAAATTCCCTACCCCTGCCCATTCTTGAAGCGAGTCTGAAAACACCATGAATTGAATAGCTTCATGACTACAATCAATGTAAAGCAAGAAAGAGATAGAGAAAGGCAAAGAGGAAACAGCTTAGTAAGATTTGGATACGAAAGACACCGCAGTTGCCTGTTTCTACTCCAATTCATTTGTATATTTGCTCATTCGGCGGAGCAAAGTCTTCAAAGGTCAAACTCCACCACAAACGCGACAGATGTTTACCACTGCATGAACCACAATCTCAAAGCAGAAGATTCATTCCGTTAACTTATATAATCTGGTATATTTCAAAAGTCACCAGTAAAAAAATATCAGTATCAGAAGATATCATGTCTCCGGTGGCATTGATGTTGCTGAAGCGTCATCCATTAGGGGATTTCCGGCTCGGGACCCCATGGTTCATTATCCCCATATCTGTGCGCTTCGCAGCGGCTCCGGGGATGGCTGTGCCTCATGGCTGATCGCAAGGGAGCTAATAGATCATTCCGGTTCGAGATGCATAGGGTTTAACAGCGCCAACCAAATTCATACCTTGTTTACTCGCCCTCCGAATGTTAACGAGGCGTCTACAACACAAGCCAGTACTACTTTGAGTAGAGCACAAGAGTTCATGCAGCTTTTAATGCTTTATAAACAAGGAAAGAAACAGCTCCAATTCATTGCCGTGAGTATCAATATCAAACGCCAGCCTGGCATACGTGATCATTCTTCAGCTCATGTCATTGACCATTCCAACCCAATGCTATGCAATCAGCAATCCATAAAACGCCGGATACTTCTTTCTCTCTCATGAAATACGCCTTCTCCTTGACCTTCTACATGCCATCTTCCTCCAAAGCATGCACCTTTGCTCCCAACTTAAAGCATGTCTTTGCTCATCTCATAAGACCAGCCACCATCCCGCCTGAGCTTGTCTCGGGCTGCCATATCCTTTCTAATGTCATCTTCTGTTAGTCGATCGGCCCCACTCCAGTTAGCACTCGAGGTTCTGGCACGGAATTTGTGCCACCTATCTTTGCTCTTGCTGAACACTTCTTCCATGTTGAGCGGTCGCGGCGGTCCAAAAATCAGTGAAGGATCCATAGTCTCCTGGTCAACCAAGGCTTTTCTTAGATCTGGTGAGTCCGCCCAAGGCGCCACTACAACGCCGTTTGCCTCGTCGTCTTCACTATCGTCATCAGTTTGGATTTCAGGCAGTTCAATTGCTTCACCATTCTGGAAACGCGGAGAAGACCTCGGCACAGACTTGGCAGCAGACTTGGCACTATTGACAGGGCCAGGTCGGGCAGGAGTCTTATAAGCTGGGCCTGCGGCGTTCGGGTTAGGGGCAAATGGAATAGCACCCTTCGAGATTTGAGCCATTTCTAAGGGGTGGGATGCCTTCATCTGGTTGGCATGCTGGGCGGTTATGGTGGCCTTGAAGAGATCGCGGGTAGCACTATGTGGTGCATTTGTGTAACCGCTCTGAAAAACAGTCTTCGGCGGTAGCTCCTGTTTGATGTTAGTTGAAATTGGTTTCATTGTTTCTAAGGGGCTGCTTACCTTCTTGAATCCAGCTGATGGTCGAACAGGGGGTCCCTTGATGTTCCTTTGGCCAGATGTATCAGCTTCATCATCAAAAGCGTCACTGGTTCGTCGTCGCTTAGCGTCGTTAATTTGATATGCTGGGCCCCCGCGAGATTGGGGGCGTTTTTCATAGTCATTATCGCCTTTCTCTTGGACGAAGTTTCGTTTCGAACCGGCTTTGCCCGTGTTGGATAAGACCCCATTAACTGGCCTACCAAGCTCATCCTGACCCGAGTTTGCAGTGGATGTCATCCGAGGCTGGGGGCGCGCAGGTTGACTATCCTGGCCCATCGCAGAGTCCGGTGGGCCATTAGGCTGGGAACGCACAGCAGGGGGTGGCGCCCTGGTCTGCTTCGCCTTTTCAATGGCAGCTTTTCTCTGAGCATTGCCTTTGGTCTGGGATTGGGATTGCAGTGCGGCCTGTTCTTGTTGTTGTTGCTTTCTTTGGCGTTCAGTCTCCTGGCGTTTCAGCTGTTCTTGCCTTCGTTGCTCTTCCTGAACTGCGGCTTTCTTTCGTTCCATCTCAGCCTTGGCGTCGCGTCTCTTCTGGGTTTCTTTTTCTTCCTGTTCCTTCTTCCTGGCAGCCACTTCCTGCGCCTTAGCTCGGCCGGCAGTAGCCGCCCCTCTCAAGCTCTGTGTTGATTGTTTTGGTTGCAATGATGCCTTGCTAGCCCTGCTTGTAAGCTGTTGTTGCGTTTGGCTCGCAGAGAGACTTGGTACATCAGGCTGTGCAGTAGACAACCGATACTGTGAATGTTGGGATCCTGTGTTAACTCGAATAACAGTGGGCGCCTGTTTTGGCCGAGTTTGTGTTTCCCTTGTAAATGGTCGCTTGGTTTCCCTGTTGCGTGTGGCGTGAGTTGGACCAAGAGAGCGAGGCGCAGACGGTGGTGGCATCGAAGGGGCATCCTCCATGTCGATGTCTTTATTCAGAGAAGTTGTTTCTTCCCCAGAAACTTTTGCATTACGATGTCCAGTCCTTGAAGACTTAGGTGTTTCCTTGACCGCTGACCGTTCATCTTCCTTCTTAGATGCAATTTGCACCTCCATGGCAGCAACTTTCTCCTGTTCCTTGCTAAACACACGGGCTTTCTCGCGTTCCTTTTGCCTTGCCTTCTCAAGTTTTTCATTTTGCTCCTCCATTCTTTTGGCTTCCTTTTCACGTCTCTTCTCTTCTTTCTCCTTCTCAACAGACGCTCGCGTACGCCGTGTTAGCCGCGTAGGGCTTGCATCTTGGTTGGCTGGCGCGCTCTGGGATCCTGAGGAGCCAGTTTCTTGCTGAGAAACAACGGATTCTGATGACATAAAAGAATGAAGACCGAGACGGTTTGAAGAAGGAGACATTAGCGATTTCCCTTCGGCACTAATAGCTGCACTACTGACGAGCAGTCCTCTGGAGCTTTTGAGAATAGACGAGAGCTTGTTCTTAACTTGCTTCAAAGGGCTCTCTCGGAATGCCCGTGAAGGTGACTTGGATGTGCCCAAAGCACCAGCTTCGGCCACATTCAGTAGACTTGGGTTGGAAACAGACACAACTTTCTTCAGATAGTGAGTATCCTCCATTGCGGGGCGCATGTTCGGTACAACCGGAACAGAGGCAGACTTTCCATGCCCAAATGTTAGCTTCGCACCATTGCCTTTGCCCGGATGGGCAAATTGCTTGTCGACCTCGGCATTGTCGTCATCTGACATGGCAAAATCCGTTTCGCCAATAGTCTTTTTGCCCTGAATGCCCTCCATTACATCTGCTGAATGGCTTTTTGGCAGGCTTGGCCGTTCCTCATTTGCCGCCGCTAGAGTTGCTGGTGGCTCGATCCAATCGTCATCATCATCTTCTGGAAAAGCCCCCGGTGTGGATTGAAGCGTGTTCAAGGGAATCGGAGAAACGGCTTTGAGGGCAGAGGTCTTGCTCTGCGGCTGTGTTTGGACACTCTTCGCTTGAGATTGGCCAAGCATGTTGATCTGGTCTTGGAGCCGTTGGGTGTAAGTCTTGTTGTCCTGATTTGTAGCAGGATGCGAAGGAAGTTCATCATCCACCTCCATTTCATTTTCCTGGTTCTCATCTCGGTCCGGCTTCGTTAGGTTTCCTCCAAGGCTCTTGCCTCCTGTCGGTCTATTGTAGTAACTAGTCCTGATGTGGTCGAGATGGCTGGTTCGAGAGGCCCGCGCACCATTGGTCTTACCAGCTGCGAGAGGCTCCCGGGCTGGCAACGATGCAAAATTCAGACTGCTCTTACGAACTATAGGCCGAATAGGACTAGAGCCGTCCGATGCAGATCGGGCATCATCATCAGGGTAACGTGCGCCCTGTTTTGCTTCCAAACTCAACTGTCGTTCAGGTGATACATCATCTTCGTACTCTGATTCGCGATGAAGATTGAGTTGTGCTTCAGGGATGATCTTTTTTGATGCATCTGCAGAAACTCGTGCTGTCTGGTCCTCTTTAGCCGTTTGGAATGTCTTCTCGGGCGAAGGTTGAGTGGAAGCGTTTGCGGGGCTATTCTTCAGTGGAACTGTCGTGGTCTGCACAGCACCTTGTTGTAGCCGGTCGTGTCCATCAGAGTCTGAGTCCATGTGAATATTCACTGAGGCAACATCTTGGCTCCCAAAGTAGCCAGAGTCCTGTGTCACTTGTATGGCTGACTTCTGTGAGAAAACTGCGACACGAGCCGGCGATGGTCTGACGGGACTTGGAGAGCCTCTCGCTGCGTCATCGTGTACTCCCGGAGATTGCAGACGACTTATGGGACTCGAAGCTCCGTTTGGAGTTGCAGAGAAGACCTCGGAAAGAGGCTACGCCATGTTAGCTTTCGTCTGTTGTTTGAGTGCGATTCAACATACCACGCGTGTCTCCAGAGGTTTCGCTTTTCTAGCGGTTCTCGGTGTCTTTCCGCGAAGTTTTGCTGGTGTTTTGAATGTTTCTGCAAAGTTTCTGAGAGACCATCAGCCATCAAATGTCCTACGTCCGTTATCGATAGAAAGTGCATACATTTCATTTTCATTAAAGATGCTTGCCATGTGCTCGTTGAGCCAGTCGAGCTCATTTCGGGCGGAGTACGAGAACTCATCAACCTCCGATTGAGTGATCTGTAGAGCTGCATTTCGTTCCTCGGTAATCCATGCTGCAGAGCCAACTTGCAAGCGCGGTCCTCGCATTGCCGCCATGATATCTCGCGTTGCCGACCAAGGCAGGAGTATCGTGTAGGTTGTTGGCGTTCGATATAGTTTAATCGGTCAATATCATGAAGACATCTGGCGGTATGTGATATAAACCGACTTCGAGTGATGAGGCTAAAGGGAGAGTCTGAGCTACAGGTGACCAAGGTAGGTCGATGTTGGTGGAGAGCCCTAACGCTACATTGCCCATTCCAAGCCGTAATGTTTTGATTGATCCCGGATCGGGTTAGCGCCTTATGGACCGCCCTCCTTCCACACTGTCGCGTCCGGCCCTGGGCATTATGAGCATTGAGGACGGGTGCGGCTGAAACGGCCAAGAAAAATGGGCTTGGTCACGTGGTGATAGGCTTCTTATCAGATACTAAACACGCTTTGTTTACTTTCGCCGCGTCGTCGCAAAGGTGGGATGTTTGGTGGCTGACAGCAGCCTCAACTCGACTCGCATGCCGTCACTCCATATTTACCTTCACAGAAAGCAACTGCGCAAATATGAGGGTAATAGAAGTAATTATTGACGTAAGTCACATCACTTTTTGGCCGCAAAGCACAGCCGACTAATATTCTTGCGAAGGGCTTCAAGTCGTACGCCGTACGAACGGTAATATCGGGATGGTAAACACCAGAGTAAGCCATGGGCATACGTTCACAGCGTCGCTAATGGGAGCGATAGGGACGAAAGTTTCAATTCGATTACTGGCCTTAATGGCAGTGGTAAATCAAATATCTTAGATGCGATTTGTTTCGTCCTGGGCATCACCAACATGTCTACAGTCAGAGCACAAAATCTCCAGGTTGAGCTGCCCATATCTTTAGATTTTGAATCATGTTAACTGTATGAATAGGATCTCATTTACAAGCGCGGGCAAGCTGGCGTCACAAAAGCCAGCGTAACAATTGTATTTGACAACCGAGATAAAAAGAAGTCACCGATCGGTTTCGATGAATATGCCAGCATTAGCGTGACACGTCAGATTGTGCTAGGCGGCACTTCAAAATACCTCATCAATGGGCACCGAGCACAACAGCAGACTGTTCAAAATCTGTTCCAGTCAGTACAACTCAATATCAACAACCCTAATTTTCTCATTATGCAAGGGCGCATCACCAAAGTCTTGAATATGAAAGCGGTTGAGATCCTTGCTATGATAGAGGAAGCTGCTGGAACCAGAATGTTCGAGGACCGTCGAGACAAGGCACTCAAAACTATGGGCAAAAAGGAGCTAAAACTTCAGGAGCTAAGAGAACTACTAAAAGACGAGATCGAACCAAAGCTAGAAAAACTACGAACGGAGAAGCGAGCGTTTCTCGATTTTCAGCAAACACAAAACGACCTTGAGCGCCTAACAAGAGTCGTTGTTGCCTACGATTATATCAAATGCCAGGAGAAGTTAAAGCAATCTGCAGCAGATTTAGAGGACAAAAAAACACGTCACAAGATGTTGGAAGAATCCGCGACTCGTCTAAGGAGTGAAATATCACACTTGGAGGTGGACGTCAAGAAGGTTCGAGCTCAACGGGAAAAAGAAGTAAAGAAGGGAGGGAAAGCCGGAGCTCTGGAGGATACCGTCAAAAAGCATGCAAATGAGTTGGTTCGTCTTGCTACGGTTATGGATTTAAAAAATACCAGTTTAGCGGAGGAAAAGGAGAAAAAACAAATGGTCGAGAAGACTGTTTCAGAGATGGAAACAGCTCTGAAAGACAAGACGACTGCCTTTAACAATGCCAAGACATCATACGATAAGGCAAAAGACGATCTGACCAAGCAAACTCAAGAAGTTGAATGCAAAGAAGAGCTTTTACAAACACTTCAAACAGGCGTCGCTTCCAAGGATGGCCAAGAGAGTGGCTATCAAGGCCAGCTACAGGACGCGAGGAACCGGGCCACAGCAGCCGCGACCGAACAAGAACAAGCCAAAATCAAAATTGCACATCTGCAAAGCCGACTGAAGGAGGAAGAGCCACGCGCTGAAAAGGCAAAAGAACAAAACGCCGGCCTTCTCCGCGAACTCGACGGACTAAAGGGCCAGGTGCAGCAACTTGAAAAAGAGCTTGGGAAGTTGGGGTTTGAGCCTGGTCAAGAAGAGGAAATGTACAAGCAAGAGTCACACTTACAACAGACTATCCGGGGCCTTCGCCAGGATTCAGACAAACTCAAGCGCCAAGTTGCCAACATCGACTTCAACTACGCAGATCCCGTTCCGGGTTTTGACCGATCTAAGGTGAAAGGCTTGGTCGCGCAACTTTTTACTCTTGACAAGGAGCATACTAGGGCCGGCACAGCGCTCGAAATCTGCGCGGGTGGCCGACTTTACAATGTAGTCGTCGATTCAGAGGTCACGGGTACTCAGCTGCTTCAAAAAGGAAAATTACGAAAGAGAGTCACCATAATTCCCCTGAACAAAATTGCCGCTTTCAGAGCGTCGGCCGAAACTATTGCAACTGCACAAAACATCGCTCCTGGGAAGGTTGATCTTGCGCTTTCCCTTGTCGGATATGACGAAGAAGTGTCTGCAGCAATGGAGTATGTGTTCGGAAATACTCTGGTTTGTGCCGATGCGGAGACTGCCAAGCGTGTTACTTTCGACCCCAGTGTCAGAATGCGAAGTATCACTCTTGAGGGTGATGCTTATGATCCCTCCGGTACACTGTCAGGAGGTAGTTCGCCCAATTCTAGCGGTGTCTTGGTGACGCTGCAGAAACTGAACAACATCACTCGACAGCTCAGGGAAACCGAGCAGGCGTTGAAAGAACTACAAACCAAGATTAGCAAAGAAAAATCAAAGTTGGATCAGGCTCGTCGTATCAAGCAAGAACTCGATCTAAAGAATCACGAGGTCAAACTTGCAGGGGACCAGATTAGCGGTAACTCTTCATCGTCAATCATTCAGGAAGTCGAGAACATGAAGACCAGTATCACTGAGCTTCAAAACAGCATTACTGAGGCTAAGTCTCGTCAGGTCGAAGCCAATGCAGATATAAAGAGAATTGAGAAAGACATGAAAGACTTCGACACAAACAAGGATGCAAAGCTTATTGAACTCCAAAAGTCTTTGGATAAGCTGCGGGCTAATCTTGAGCAGAACTCTGCAGCAGTCAAAAGCCTGCAAAAGGTGCATCAAAATGCTCAACTTGATCTGGAACAAGTGGGAGCAGATCTGTCCGCCGCCCGAGAGCAACTTCAGGAAGCCGAAGTTGGGATCAAAGCAGCGCAACAGGATGTTGAAGATCTTTCAAGACAGCGGGCTGCGTTGAAAGAAACACACGACACTGCCCAAGCTCAGCTAGATGATGAGAGAGCCAAGCTCAACCTGTTTGACGACGAACTTCGTTTGTCAGAGGAAGCCATGCGATCGAAAAACGCTCGTATCACTGAGGAAGGTCTAGAAATGCAAAAGCTTGGCCATCAAATTGAACGATTCCATAAAGAACAGCAAGCAGCCGCAGATAACGTTGCTCGTCTGGAATCAGAGTACGAATGGATCCAAGACGAAAAAGACAAATTTGGCCGGAGCGGCACGCCTTATCATTTCCAGGGCCAAAATATTGGTGAATGCAAAGCCACACTGCGAAACCTTACAGAACGTTCGCAGGGCATGAAGAAGAAGATCAACCCCAAGGTTATGAATATGATTGACAGTGTCGAGAAGAAGGAAGTCACTTTGAAGCACATGATTAAGACAGTCATTCGCGATAAACGGAAGATTGAAGAAACCATAGTCAGCCTAGACGATTACAAGAAGAAGGCCTTACAGGAGACATGGGAAAAGGTGAATGGTGACTTTGGCCAAATTTTCTCAGAACTGCTTCCCGGAGGCAGTTTCGCCAAACTCGATCCCCCTGAGGGCAAGACTATTAGCGATGGTCTTGAGGTCAAGGTGTGCCTGGGCAAGGTGTGGAAGCAGAGCTTAACAGAGTTGAGCGGTGGCCAGAGGTATGGAATTCAACGCATGGAAGACTAGAAAAATCTTGGACAAATACATAGAAACTGACCGTATCACAGATCACTTGTTGCCCTGTCGCTCATTATGGCACTTCTTCAATTCAAGCCTGCGCCGATGTATATTCTCGACGAAGTTGACGCTGCTTTGGATCTCTCCCATACGCAAAATATTGGCCGTCTCATCAAGACAAGGTTCAAGGGTTCGCAGTTCATTGTCGTCAGTCTGAAGGATGGCATGTTCCAAAATGCCAACCGAATATTCAGGACACGCTTCAGTGAAGGCACGAGCATGGTTCAAGCCTTGACTCCTGCCGATATGAAGTAATCGACGTGGACATATTCAAAGTCATCATGAGATACGAAGAAAGGGACATGAAGAAGTATTGTGCATAGATCAATGGACGAGATATTGACGAAGAGCGTTTATTTCTTTATTTTAGCTTCATGTACCTGCAGATATTTGGTATCATTATCTATTCACTCCGTACGGAATATACCCTAAGGGATAGTTTATCTAAGTTATCTAATCTAAGTATTCGGACCCCTTTGTAGCCTCGACCTTGGGATCACATTGTCCATCACCGGGCACTTTGTTTGACGTATAAATGAGATCCACGTTCAAGAACGTCAACCTCCATACCGACTTCCAGCACCGACTCCAATCGGTCTAGATTGTTGCTTTTTAGAAATGTAGGCAAGAGTTGCATACCAAGACAACCCATCTTAGGAGCACCGGCATCAATATCCCGATACTTGCGGAGGGCACGATCTGGTTCCACAACGTGCCGAATACCCGTGGCAGGGTCGACATTTGGTAGTTTGCATCTTCATCCCACATGTCAGTGTTCCTGGCATCATTTCTTCCATCCGGACGAATGTCACTTACCTCACAGTTCTGCATGAGACATCAAACCTGCTCATCGTTTCGCTTCTGCCGGGATGTTTGAAGTTGACCGACTTCCAGTCATCCTCATCATATTCCTTTAAGCCAGAAACTAGATTTATCATTTGTGAGTCAGTGTGAGGCAGTTCATCCAGAGTAGGGGGTCTGCGTTAGTCAAGTACCGATTATATTGCCCCGGAAGCGTCGGACATCAATGCGATCAATGGATCTGTCCTTTTGAATCTTTGACTCTAGCGCTCGGATACTTGACAGATTGAGCAGATGTACCGGAAACTATGATGTCAGTTTGCTTGTTTGAGGCGAAGCAGGGGTGATAGGAAGGAACGTTGTAATTTACTGCATCGTGAAAATCTATCTCCGCTTCATGTCCTGACATTTCCTTTCGCGGAGCAGTTCGGAATACTTTTCTGCGGGCAGATGGGTCGGATCGAAAGATGCCCAGCGAGTGCTTCACCCCAAGATACGTGGCAAGTTCGGCCGGCAGCTCGTTGGACATGTCAAGTGCATAGGGAGCGTCCACCCATACCTTGACATTTGCATACCGATAGCCTCTTGCATCAATCTCCTGCTTGGATGGGAATTCCAATGGGAGTATGAATTCCTTCTCCGGACCTGCGCTCCAACCCCGGCTAAGCTTGGCAACAAGAAGTTGTACTAAGCCTAGGAAGCCTCTTTCTTGCCAGGGAAAACGGACAGCAACAAACCCGCCTTGCAGGCTGCCCAGAAGTCTGCTCTTCTTACCAGCATCCGGTAGCCATATATCAACTTTGACGTTGGCCAAGAGCGGCAGCTGCCTCAGTGTCAAGAATTCCCACGCGCTGCTCGATTCTGTCTGTGCACCTGATTCTGTAACAGCGGACGAAGACTTGGGCTTCAACTGAGCAAACATGTAGAGACGGTCGTGCTCCAGGCCGGTGGGCAAGACCTTGGCTCTATCCAACTCTATTCCTCTGCACGATTTGATGGGATAAATGTACAGACTCTCGATTGTCGGTGTCTTTCCCGCCTGCGGCTTATGTCTGGCATCATATTGCGAACGCAAGTGACTCTCACGCTGTGGGCGGCCAAGCTTGCTGTGTGTCTGCCGTAATGCATCACTATGGTCGACAGGCACCGGTGGGAATAGGATAAAAATTGGAACCAGGAAGACAATGATGGTGACAACCATGAGGAAAACTGCGCCGTAGTCAAATAGACCCGTTATCCTGGAAAAGTAGAGCATCTTGCCAGGCGATGTTGTGAAGCCCCGCGGCCTGCCCTTCAGCCAAGTGATTTGCTCGAATGGTCAGGGCGCAATAGCTCGATTTTGTTCAAGGGCGGCCATACGAGGAATATGATTAGATTTATGAGATGATTCGGAGGCATGGGCCGAAGTTGATGTTCAATGCCCCTGAATACAAAGGCCTGAAACCGTCAGGGCGAAGCTCCACCTCAGTTGAAGTTCGACTTTGGTCATCTACGTCACAGGCATGAGACCGTCACTGTGTAAAAGCTGAGTATTGTAGACGAGTATCGGTGTTGAGCGCTTGGTCGAAATTTCCGATTGGGACGTGTTGCTTTGATGTTTTGAATCGCTGCTAGGGTTATATATAGGGTAGTGGAAATACCGGGTTTTTGGGTTTAGCGCAGTGAGAATCTTCACGTTACATACTGGCTATAAAATAAACGAGGCAGAAAGTAATGAGTTTGGGGAGGAATGAAGCCGCTCCAGGCGCTTGAAGGAGCTTGAATATTTTAATTTGCATTCCTGTCTTCCACCTATTGTCCTTCTCATCTTGCCTTTCGATTTCTCTATCTGCTACGTCCGGGGCTCGCCATATGCGTCACGCATCGCAAGGCCATTCCTCTTTGGGTTGCCATTTGCGGCGCAGGGTAGGTGCGATCAGCACCACATTCACTTACCTGGCAACCTGGGTTCTCCGTAGATGGTGGTAATAATGAGCTCCCCTACAACAACAACACCCAACCCTGTTGTGAAGGTTGGTGGTGGGTTATCTCGTTATTTCCGTCTCCAGCAATTTAACGTTGCTTGTTCGAAATGCCATGCACACGGTTGACCTCTCGCACATCATCAAGCCGTCAGGTTACACGAACTTGGCACCCCCGCCGCGCTTGTTGTGTCTGATTGTCCAGTCGGAGACTCTGGCTGGAATCAGCATCCTGGCCACCCTGGCCACCCACACTGCACGATGTGACTGCCTGTCACAATGTCTCCAAAACGATGACTTACATGGCCTCGGGCTGTTGCTTCGTCTTCAGCCAAGGGCTCGAGTGCAACAACATCTCTTTGCCAGGCGAGCCTGAGTGAAGGCTGGATCTGACAGCTCCCTTTTCGAACAACAATCATGCACAGCTGTGGGCCCAAATACAGCTCTTCCCTGACCATCACCGCGACGGCACCACAGAGTCTATCCATGGCATGAATTCAACACGAACCATGAGCGGATTGCTCCGCCCGGCCAAGTCCGTCGACATCACACAACTGCAGTGCTCTGTTGTTTGGGGCTAATCGACCCCTTTCTTCAAACTGAAATCACCTTGTATGGGTATGGCCCATACAGTCATATTCCACCGGGCAATCATCACATGAATCGAAGCTATCTTCTTCTGAAAACCAGCCGCTGTTCCGAGGCATGGACCCTCAACGCTCCTGAATGATTAGTCCCTGAACCGGTAGGATCTGGCCGATCACTCGTACACCATGCCTGCCTGTCTGTGCCACTTTCCGCGGCAACCACACTTCTCTCACTTCGGGTCATTAGGAGGTGGAGGTACACAGCATGTAGGGTGTATGTCGGCGTGGGTTCCGCCCCGTGTTTAGCGCCCGGAGTCGGCGCCACAGCTACTGAATATCGATCCGCATCAGGGCCTGCCCGCAGAGGATGCATTGAAGTTGTCAGGGCTCGAGATAACAACAGACAGGAAGAAGACACAGGGGTCTAGAGACAGTATCTCCTCGGGCGGAGACTTGGCTCGATGTTAAAGGCCAAAAGAAAAAAGGGAAATCGAACAGATACGGCAGGTTGATGAGAAGGCATGAAGCTCGCAAGACCCGAGGGCGGTCTTGTTCGACCGAAGATGTTTCCGAGGTGGGCATCAAGCAAAGTTTCATATCAGCAGCATGCTCCGATTTATTACAAGAGGTGCAAAGAAACATTGGAGACAAATCAGGCAACCGTATCGTATGGACCGAGGCCACTTGTCATGAAGTCATATCATCCACTTCAGGCCCGAACTGGCACGCCATGCAGCTTGTTGTGAATGCCATCAGTACTACGAATCCCTGGTGATAGCATCTGTATGTTAAGAGTCCAAACTCTGCGCGGCCGGGGACCCTTCAGAGCCTCGCCCCTGTCCGCTTTGATCACCTCGCCGATTGGGTGGGTGGAGCCTTCTACGGTTGCACTGTTTTGGACATCCAACGTCTTTGTCGCGCCCCCAGTTCAATTGGTGTATTGTACAAGACGGAGTCCTGTACATATGCCCGGGACTTCTAGGCCCTGGAGGACACAACAGCTCCCGTCGGAAGCATTGAAAAATTTCCGGGCACGAACATAACCTAGCGGATAATGTATGTAATATGTCATCTGTCCATCTCTTGCCTGCCGCGGGACGAAACTATCCTCTTTTTTCGACATGGCAATGACAACCCTTGAGTTGCAGGCATATTACATACATGCATGTCTATACACATATCAATTCACTTATAAATAGAATTCAGGGTAATTCAGAGACAGACGATAGGCGGATAAATTTAAGTAATAATCCGGGCGCAGTGCGATTATTTGATACTCACCCAATTTTCTAGTTACAGTGACAGAAATTATGGCAATCAGCATGGCAATTTGCCTTGTCAACACCAAGTGGTAATCTGTTGAACCTTGCTGGGCAGAGGAGCTTCATTCGGGACGTAACCAGTTCGCCAATTCCAGCGTCTGTATTCAGGCGGGGGTTATCTACGCAGCACGTCCCCAGTGGCGAGTTGCAGACAACCACCACGCATATTTGCCATCTATGCGCAAACAGAGTCATGACAATCATCCAGGAGCTAGCCCTATCGCCGGAGAAACGCTTGACGGTATAGGGAACCGCTGCGGCCAATCTACACAAAGCTCAACCGGCCCCTAGGTCTGACTGTACGAATCAATGGTGTTTTCTAGAATGGCCGGATCATGACAGAACCCCTGTCTAAGTGCATTCTGCCTGCTTCATCATACTCCGTAAAGAGGGCTGGATAACAGCCGTAACAACGTAAGATACTGCGGATACTACTCAGCAAATCCTTGTCCTTGCCCACAATATATAGTGTTATATTCTGGCTGACCGGCGTAATTACAGGACCAGCTAGCTCTCTCCCCTCTTTCCAGGCGCCAGGATGTTATCTGTTCCTACACTTGCTACGGAGTACTTCTAGTCTCTACATGCGAATACTAGTATTAATGCAGCTAAGTTTGACATCACGGTGCCACGATGACATTGGTACGAAAGACTGCAGTCCTGGCCCTCGTTCTGTATTTCAGCATGGCTGTACTAACAAAAGTACCTATGTAGTCTAAGCCAAGCCGCCGATCGACTTGATGCGTACGTATTCACTGGGGTTTGCCCTGTGAGAGAGTAAGTGGGCAACGTTGTTTCTGTTAAGCATAGAGTAGTTCTTAACACTTGACGGCTGATTTTCGGATAGAGGACCGGGGGCTGGGGGTAAGCTGGTGGATTAACTATGTTCAAGGCTACCTTGCTCGACCTCGGTGCAGGCGTTGCGGAGCAAGGCGCATACGAACAGACCAGTCCTGTGTTGCGTCTGTCATGTCGAACCAAAGAGAACAGCAGCAGGGTTCAGGACTACCTAGCAGTTAACTAGACCAACCAGACCAGACCCAAGAGGCGGTTGAGTGACAGGTGCTTCTGTGGACGAGTGGGCACGGGGACGTTCTCTTAACCAAGTCATCGGGGCAGCCGTGGGCTTCCTGTCAATCTTCCAGCATGCCAATGCCAGGCTTCTGACTCGCACCATTTCTGCACATTTCGTACCGCCGTGCACTGACTCCATGCCGTTCTGACCGCACAAGAAGACGAAGAGAGCCTGTCTCCTGGCAGCCAGTGCACACAGGAGAGCCAAGACTGGGGGCGTTGGTATATGGAGTGCCGGCAGCGGGAGAAATGAAGTGGCCCGTCCACTGCCAGTTACATGTTCCTGGACACACTTAAACTTTCGAAGGAACTTTGGCAGGTCAGCACTGGCAAGTGAACAAGCATAACGGCGACTGGATGGTATGAGACCCCAGCAAACAGCACCTGCTGCAAACTTGAGAAAACGGACGAGTATGCTGTTATGGAACGGAAGCAGCCGCGTAATACCCAAATTCGACTTGGCAAATCCTCCACCATACTTCGAGAACTTGAAAGGAGGCATACTAGTGGAAAGCACTGCAAAGTCCTAGTACCGGTCCCGCTGCTGTGACATGGTGGTTGAGTCGCAATCGAGGTCGAGACCTCCTTGCCATAAGGAGTCTCTACTGAACACCGATATCTTCACGACGCATGCTCTGAGATGATGACAGCACCGTCACGACAAGTCCAAAATCAGTCACTGGAGACAACAGGTTTCCACTTTGCGGCAGCGGGAAGTACTACAGCGAGATGGCCCCTGTTTTGCTTGGTCTGTTGCAGTGGCTCACGCAAGGCGTCGAAGTGTAATAAGGAGTATCCGCATTAAGTACCCTTACGAAAGACTTCATACTGTTATGTATGCGGAAACCCTGTCTGTTTGATGTCAGAGGCGCTGCGATGAAATCACTCTGCCCGCCTTACGAACCGGACTAGTCTGCACATGGCATGAACCAAGGTGAATTAAGCATTTGAGAGATCATCCAACCACACCACACGTCCGCGGAGTGTGGAAGCACATGGGAATCGCGGCTTATTGCAAGCAAATCCCTACAAGGAGGAGACCCCAGTAAACCCAGACGGGATGGTCCGTTTTGACTCTGCAGTATGTGCGTCCTTTCTACGTCCTGTACGTCTTCGTCCACCTCAGGAGTTCCATCTGGAGCAAGTACGTCACCAAGTATAGCATGTATATATTGGGTATACATACATACCTAGTATATATCTCAAAGAACAGTGGTCGGAAGCGGCAGCCATTGTGCTTGGCTGAGCCTATGCATGACCACGGACGACCAATTGTTGTGGGATGAATGAACACTTGCTGTTGCGGAGGGC